GGGTAGCGGTTTAGGGCTTAGGGTTTAGGGCTTAAATTAGTTACAGGTTTTAGGGTTTAGGGTTTGGGGTTTAGGGGTGGGGTTTAGGGTTTAGGGTTGAGGGTTTGGCTTTGGGGGCCTGGGTTTAGTGTTTAGGGGTTAGGGTTGACGGTTTTAGGGTTCGGGTTTAGGGTCCCGGTGTAGCCCTGCAACTAATCAGGCTCCAAAATTATGGCTCCTAAGCCCTAAACCCTAAAACATAAACCCTAAACCCTAACTTATAAACCCTGAATCCTTAAACCCTTAAACCTTTAAACCCTAAACCCTAAACCCTATACCCTAAACCCCCTGAATCAGCCGTCCACCATGGGTCAGGTGCTCCGCGCAGTGCTCGCAAGAACTCTGCAGCGGAAGTCGGCTGCGAACGTAACCCGGAAGGCAGCTTAAGCACCTGGGACTTTTTGAGGGTTCCGGTTTTAGGGTTTAGGGTTTAGGGTTTAGGGTTACTTATAAGTGCACACAGGCTCTCAAGTAAGGCCGAAACGCTGTAAGGCTGAGTGAAGGTCTTGGCTCCACTCCAAAACGCCCACGCCCTCATCCAGCAGACTTCTGTCCTAAAGATCTATACGGTTTTGGGTTTGGGGTTCCTGAAGGCGAAGGGTTTAGGGTTTAGGGCTTAGGGTTTAGGGTTTAGGGTTTAGCCCCTGTCAGGATTAACGAAAGGCTACCTCGTGACCATGGCAGGAATATACAAACACGGAAGGCTTACCTACGGTAGGATGACAGACACCCAAAAGAATAGCTCTGAAAGAGAACACAAACCCCGCAAACAAAATTGTGGTAGGATGATGTAAATCCGAAAGATTGATGATGGTAGGGTTACATAAACCCTAAACCCTCAACCCCTAAACCCTAAACACCCACAACTCAAAAATGGCCTTATGCTCCTGACAGGGCACTGGACACCGGTAGAGCCCTCAGCGCAGGTTGCGTTGGCCAAGCAAGCATCCGGCACCTTGGGGCATACGGGTTCTTTAAAGGGTACTTTACAGGGCTTACAAAAGGGTCCCGTCAAGGGCTCTTTAAAGGACGTTTAGGGTGTAGGGTTTTGGGGTTTATGTAAGCTTCGGGTTTAGGGTTTAGGGTTTTATGTTTTATGTACGTTTCGGTGTCTGTAGGGGCTCCGAACGGGGATGTGTCGCAAAGCCTTTGGCCTGCTCAGGTACTTCGCGCGGCCTCGGGTTCCAGGACTCACGAAGAGAGGCCTGTGCTCCTAAGCATAAGCTGGAGACTTCTTGACTTATGGGTGTCTTGTTTGGGGGTCCGGATACTAAGACTATCAAGAATTATATATCCCAGATCCTAAGACGACTATCATGATTCAAAAACCCTAAAAAAGGGGCCTTAACAATTAGAATAGGGTTTTGGGGCCCATTACACAATAACTATAATAAGGAGCCCCCCAATAGTAAATCGTATTGGTAATGATTTAGGCCACCACATTAAACCCTAACCCATCCAGACTCCAGGTCGGGTCCCTTATGTTGTGAATGCTTGGGAAGTGAGGGCCTCTGCTGCAATTCTCGGAAACTCTGGCTGTTGAGTAGGATGCTGCTCTCGGTTTGTGTTTATTACTGTTAGTACTCAAACTTGTAGCTTGGGGCCTCTTATGGTTTCTCTAACTGACATGATATTGCAAATGGAGTGTAGACTGATAACAGCCGTACTGGCAATAAAAACAGCAATGATACTAATGGTAGAAATAATAGCAATCGAAATTATAAAAATCATAGTCGTCACAGCAGCAGCAGCAGCAGCAGCAGGAGAGGGAGGAAGAAGAGGAGTGGTAGGGGTAGCGGTAGTGGCAGCGGTAGTGAAACTTTAAAACCCGCAAACCCCACAAAAGCCAGAACCCTGAAATGTTTCTGCAAAGACCAGCATAAGCTGTTCCCTGTAAGTATCAGCTGGGAGGCCAGACCCTTACCCTAAACCCTAAACCCTAAACCGCAGCTGGGAGGCTAGACAGGCCTCCCAGCTAACATGGCTTCCCACCTGAGCAAAGATGCAGAGAGGCGTTTCTAATTGAAATTTCGGAGCTTTGGGTTCAAGGTCTAGGGTTTAGGGTTTAGGGTTTAGGGTTCAGGGCTCAGGGTTCAGGGTTCAGGGTTTAGGGTTTAGGGTTTAGCGTTTAGGGGGGAGTTGTGTCGGCTTCAGGTCAGAAATTTTTGGCGGGTAGCAGCGTTATCTCTCCATTCAGCAGATGCCCTGTACATTGGATCAAAAGTCTAGACCGCAATGGCTACGCACCATAAAACCTGAGCACCCTGAAACCTAAACCTTAAAGACCCCTCAAAGGAACCCTAAGCCCTGAAACCTAAACCTTAGAGACCCCTCATAGGAACCCAAAGCCCTGAAGCCTAAACCCTGGGCCCTAAACCCTGAAACTGAAACCCAAAGGATCCCTCAAAGGGGATCCGCAAAGCAACCCTTTCAAGAATCCCTTAAAGGAACCCTTGAAGGAACCCATAAACAGGATCCATGAGGAACCCTTCAAGGAGCCCTGAAAGGAGCCCTTTCAGGAGCCCCTGAAGGAATACCCTGAGACTCTGCACTTGCGGTGTTTTCGGTGGCCTGCTGGACAATACCAGGTGTTTCGAATCTCTGCGAAGCCTCAACCCTATACCCTCAACCCTAAACCCTAAACCCTCAACCCTAAACGCTCAACACTAAACCCTAAACCCTAGACCCTAAACCCAAAACCCCTCAACCGCTTTAGACCCCGCCTTCCGAATCCAGAAGCCTGCGCGGTTGAGGGCGATGGCCATGCCCGTGCCGCTCATCTCGGCGCCCTCCTGCTTCGCATGAAAGTATGGGCTTTGGAAGTCGTTTAGGGTTTATAGAGTTAAGGGTAGTGCGGGCTCAGAAGGATTTAGGGCTTAGGCCGGCTCGGTTCTGCGCGTTCTTTTTTGAAGTAGTTCAGGGCTGAGGGTTTACTGGGGCTTCAGCAACTCTTTTTCTTGACTTTTGTCAAACCCTCTGCGTTCTGACACACGCTGCACAAGGCAAGCCGCAAGGCCTAAAACGGTCCCTCAATATCCTCAGCGATTGAATGCGGCCCGTCCTGCGCCGGCAGGCACGTGCTGGAGTTGCGTAGGTGCCTCGGACTGTCGCTTGCAAAGATGGTGCACCACTCTCAAAAAACCCGAGCAAACTCTTAGAAGTCTTAACCTTACCTTGCCCTTACATTCTACTTACCCCTATACATTTCAGAGTGGTGCCACAATAATTCTAAGAAAAGAACCCCAAACCATAAACCCTAAAC